TAAAATTCAAACTAGACACTGGTGCACAAGTAAACATTATTCCTCTGAGTAAGTACAGAAGCTTGACATCTGAGTGTGAGCTACAGCCCACCACGCGCAGACTGACTAGTTATGGTGGTGAACAGCTCCCAGTAAAAGGCACATGCACTCTCAAATGCAAATACAAGGAAAGGGACATGATGTTGGACTTTTACGTTGTTGACACTCGAGCACCTGCAGTGCTAGGTCTTAAAGCATGTTTAGACATGGACCTTATCAAGCTAGTTTTATCAGTGACAGCACCAGTAGAGATAGAGAATGTCATGGAGGAGTTTGCTGATGTTTTTACAGGAATAGGACTATTCCCAGGAGAATGTACCATTCACCTTAACCCAGACGCAACCCCTGTGATCTACCCACCGAGAAAGATTCCACTTGCTCTCCGCGCCCGTCTGAAGAAAGAGTTGGAGAGCATGGAGCAATCTGACATCGTCACCAAGGTTACAGAACCGACGGATTGGGTCAACGCGTTAGTGGTGGTGGAGAAACCACGGACAGGCAAGCTCAGAGTATGTCTCGACCCAAGAGACTTGAACAAGGCTATCAAACGCCCCCATTACCCCTTACCGACGCTAGATGGCATCACACACAAGCTAGCGGGCGCACGCTACTTCAGTGTCATGGACGCCAGATCAGGCTACTGGGCTATCAAGCTCACAGAAGAGTCATCTAAGCTCACAACGTTCAACACACCGTTTGGACGCTACAGGTTCCGTCGCCTGCCTTTTGGGATTATCTCAGCCCAAGACGAGTTTCAGCGAAAGATCGACGAGGTGTACGAAGGCCTCGACGGAGTCGTGGCAATTGTGGACGACATCCTTGTCTATGGTCGAACCAAAGAGGAACACGACAGAAACCTCAACGCGATGCTGCAAAGGTCCCGCGAGAGAGGAGTCCGGCTCAACCCCGAGAAGAGCACAGTCGGCGCTACAGAGGTCAGCTACTTCGGACATCTTCTCACAGCGAATGGAATCAAGCCAGATCCGCAGAAGATCTCAGCCATAAAGGAAATGGAGCCACCAAAGAACCGCGCAGAGCTGGAAACAGTGCTTGGCATGGTAAACTACTTAGCCAAGTTCGCACCCAGCCTCTCCAATGCTAATGCACCCCTGCGTCAGCTGCTAAAGCAGTCCAGTGAGTTCCTCTGGGACAACCAACACGACATCGCTTTCCAGAAAGTGAAAGACTTGATCACGAGAGAACCAGGACCAATCCTTGCCTACTACGACCCCAACAAAGAGCTCAGACTCCAGGTGGACGCGTCAAAGTATGGACTAGGGGCAGTGCTACTGCAAGAAGGAAAACCCATCGGCTACGCTTCCAAATCTCTCACAGACTGTGAAATCAACTACGCTCAAATCGAAAAGGAGCTGTACGCCATTCTGTTCGGATGTAAGCGTTTCCATCAGTATGTCTATGGACGACAAGTCATTGTGGAATCAGACCACAAGCCCCTCGAGTCAATCATGAGGAAACCGTTAGCCGCAGCCCCGCCAAGGCTACAGAGAATGATCCTTCAACTACAAAAATACGACTTCACAATCACTCACCGTCCAGGCAAAGACATCCCTGTCGCAGACACACTCTCCAGGAAGTTTCTTACCTACAAGGACAGCAGCCTCAGTGAAGGCATGGACATGCAGGTGCACACTGTGTACAGCAACTTACCAGTTAGTGACACAAAACTGAAGGAGATCCGAGCAGAAACAGAAAAAGACACACAACTCACACAGCTGAGGAAAGTCATACAGTCAGGATGGCCTGAGGAGAGGAGAAAATGCCCTCAGAGCATCTCAGAGTTCTGGAACCATCGTGACGAACTATCACAGATCAACGGAATCATTTTCAAAGGAGAGAAAATCATCATTCCTACCAGTCTCAGAGAAGAGATTTTGACAAAGATCCATGCTGGACACATGGGCATGGAAAAGTGCAAACAGAGAGCACGGGACATTTTGTTTTGGCCCGGAATGTGCAAACAAATAGAGGACATGGTTGGTAAATGCCCCACCTGTCTTGAACGACGCCCCTCGAACACCAAAGAGCCAATGTTACCTCACCGTATCCCAGACCGACCCTGGCAGGTCGTGGCAACCGATCTGTTCACGTGGAACAACGAGGACTACATTATAACAGTGGACTACTACAGCAGATACTTCGAACTCGACAAGCTTCACAGCACCACATCTGCAGCTGTGATACACAAGCTGAAAGCAGCCTTTGCCAGGCATGGCATTGTAGAGACTTTAATATCTGACAATGGGCCCTGTTACAAATCAAATGAGTTTGAATCCTTCACAAAAGCATGGGAGTTCACACACGTCACCACAAGCCCACATTACCCTCAAAGTAATGGCCTTTGCTGAAAAATCTGTGCAGATCGCTAAATCACTCATGGACAAAGCAAAAGCAGACAAGAGAGACCCCTACCTCAGTCTCCTTGAATACCGCAACACTCCAGTTGACAACTTCAAATCACCAGCCCAGCTGTTGATGAGCCGCAGACTTCGCTCAATCCTTCCCAGCACCAACCAGCAGCTGCAACCTGAGGTCGTCAGCTACAAAGAAGTGCATGCAAAACGTGCACAGAGACAACAACTGCAAAAGCGATACTACGACAGGTCAGCCAGACCACTGCCACCACTGAACGACGGAGAGTCAGTTAGAATCCAGGAGCATGGCTACTGGAAGCCAGCAGTCGTCATCCAACCAGCTGACACTGAACGTTCATATCACGTTCGCACCGCAGAAGGAGCGGTGTACCGCCGCAATCGTCGTCACCTACTGAACACAAAAGAACAACACACTGACGAGATGAACTGTTCCCCTGAAAGAGAACGGGATGGACTAAACACAGACACAACACAACATACACCATACTTACCTGCAACACCACAAGAACTGTTGACTGACACAGAAGCATGCTCAGCTTCATATCACACAAGGTCAGGAAGAGAGGTCAAGCCTAGAGCTGTCCTAGACCTGTGAAACGTCAAAGGGTGTAGGCGGATCGCTGCCCTAAAAGAGTTTCCAGACTGTAAACTTGTTATTGAAAGTTAACTTGAAATGCTTTGGTATTGTATTTGTTTGATATGTTGAGATGTCATTGCTACAGTGAAAAGCTGAGTTGCTGAGAAATATTTGTTCTAAAAATAACAATATGCTGAATCATTGTTTGTCTGTTATGTTGATGCAGTTGGTGCAGTTTAAATGGTTACTTACCTCGAGTTCAAACTACAGAGCATATATTCAAAAGAAACGCTTTATTGTTCCACATATTTTTTCTTTTTTTAAAAGAAGGGGGATGTAATATTCATATGTGTCACCATACTGAATTGTAATTGGATGCATCATACTGTGCAATGATTGGTTAAGACCACCCAGGTGGTGAGGTCATTCTAAGATGATCATGGCCAGAGACACATGGACATGCACGTTATAGCTAGTTAATAAAGAGCTACGTTTATAAATATCCTGTCGTCCTGCATTTTATTATTTTGTACAAAGCGTACAAAACAAGACACCTACCTCGCCACCTGGTGGTAGAGAAATGTGGTTACAGCAGTACAGTAGCTTGTGTTGAACACTTTGTATCAACAGAGGGCGTTACAACACAGCCATGCATGCAGTAGACTCGAAAATGGTGGAAAGCCATTTCAAGTCAGATTTAAAATACAGCATATATTGTAGACCCTCTAGCTCAGGGATCATCAACTAGATTCAGCCGTGGGCTGATTTTTTTCTTGGGCGGAGGGTCAGGAACATAATTACAAATAATTTGTAGACTGCAAATTGACCGCAAGAAGCCCAAACAGATATATTTGACTAAAACATAATCATTTCAAACATTGCTTACATTTGTATACAATCATATCATCTCTCTATTATGCGTGGGAATACTTTCAAACTGATTTCCAAAATTAAAACCACTTGGAGCTGATTTGCTGGTGTTTTCACAGTCTTTTATGTCCATTTAAATAAAAAAATATCAGAAAAGTTGGGGGGGCCAAAAAATAACACGTGGGCGGAATTTAGCCTGCGGGCCACCAGTTGGGGAACCCTGTTCTATCATGGGGGGCTCATGGGGGTAGTTGCCCCTAGTTCAGACAGCTGATAGCCAATCGTTTTGGGGTTGAGGTGTCAGACCGACTGAATGGACCATAATAACGTCTCCTTGAGTTCCACCAAGTTATTAGTTTAGTTGATTAATTCGACCATTTAAAAAAACTAGCACACATAAAACTTGAAAAAGCCATACATGCACATGAGTAAAATCATCGAGGATAACACACAATAAAGTCTGGGACTTATTTCCATTGTGGTCCTCTTGAAACAAGATGGCTAGGTACCTTCCCCAGCATTACTCCTGATCTGGTGCTGTCATTGTGTGCATCCCTAACACGGGGAAAGTAATCAGTTAGATATCTGGGCGCAGAACCATAAATAGTCCTGTAAACCAAACCCAGTCTAATCTGGGACACCCTAGCCTCAACAGGCAGCCAGTTGAGTTCCTGAAAGCAGCTCCTGCCTATGTGAGTATGTTGACTCACCTTCAATACTACCTTGATCAGCTTATTCTGGGCTCTGGCTATTAGACTATCCAGATGCTTTTACTGTTTAGGGCAGTCCTCCTAACCCTCGTTGTTCAAGTTAGTTATCTAAGGTGTGGACCCGCTAACGACAATATTATAAACATTCTCTTGAGAAAGTAACTTGGTTGAGTTAAGATGATAATAAATCTTGATTTAGTTGAGACTGTTTATTTTGGGTTCATTAATTAAGCTTGTTGTCATGACTAAACAGACAGTTATAAAGGCTTTCATTTTTATTTTCCATATGAAGAAACTGTACATATCTATTTAACACTCATATACAGGTATATTAAAAAAGGCAAACAAGAGAATGGAGGTTCACTTTGACAATGATCTTTAGGAAGTAATGCATGAATAAGTGCAAAGTGCTCATCCACTGGTGGCTATTTCAAATGGATAGTGCTGGGGGAAATCATGGATGACTTTCAGGGCTTCATTGTACAGCTCCAGGTCTGGAAAGGAAATAAAAATGAACATGAAATGATATTAGTTCAACCATTATGTAAAGATAATGAAGAGATGTCAAACCAGTTGAATACAGTCTTTGGCATGTTTAAAAGTAGACTCTGCAAGATGTCAATATCATTACATACCGTGGGGCGACATCCTAGAGACACCATCATCAACAAGAATTCAAATATGCCAAGACTACCACTATTGTTTCTCCCAAATCTGTGCTCTCCCTTGAGATACACCCACATTGGGAAGAGAACATATTTTGTTGACTTTGTTGCAGGAAGTCACCCTGCTGTGTATAATGTCATTTAGCAGTCTACCTTTGAGAACACATTCCCTTTTCCACAGGAGAGATTATGTACTTACCGAAAGGAATGCCTTTGTCTTCTCTGAGCATGTTGTATGCAGAGGCCATTATTGTCCCTTTGTTGGAAACAATACCAAGCACCTCCACTACCCCGCTAAGCTCCTCATCAAGCTGGGAAAAAATAAACAATGTTACATCAGGCAATATACTAATTTTGCCTGATTAGTAATAATACTAATCGACATATGCCTTTGAAACTCAAGTACAATGTTCACTTTCAGTTGAGTGATGTCATGTTGTCAATGTCAGATATTTGTATTTCTAATTCCTAGAAGATAGCTACTGTTCAACCAGTCTACTGTAGCTAGCTAAGTCTTGCAACTGTAGAAACGCTGTGACTGTACTTACGGGCTCGTTGAGTTCCACTGATGCAGACTTCCCTTCTCCGTCCGAAAGACTGAATGATTTTCCTGTTGGATGGACCTGTCATAGACGACAATAAACAATGAATCGCGATTTAGTAATGCTAGCTAAGTAGCGAATTTCTAGTTTGGTGTAACGTTACCATCACGAACCTTTCGTCAAGAGAAAATGTCATCCAATTTCTAGTGCTGAACTAACGGTACACCAATAACACATACATATTACCTTTTCAACACGTCCAACGAAGCAAATTGGCCTGCTGATATATTGAGACAGCATAGCAGAGTTTATTCTGGCTTTTGGTGACTCGAAAACTGACATTTCGAAAGATTTTGCGGTGCACAACTTGTAGCTACGATTGAATGTCAGACAAGCAAGTGGTAACGCGGGAAACACCTTGTATGACGATGTTTCCGCATTGTTCTATGCTACATTCTTTCCCTGGATACAAGCTCATGTTAACTATCATTCCTCATATTAATATTGAAATGCCAGATGAAGGGATAATTTTATATAAATAACACTTCTTTTTTTAAAAGTTGAGTATAATAACCAAACACCAGAATCAAAGCGATATATTGCGGTATAACCATTGTAAAACTGATCAGAATTAGATGGTTCCCAACATTGTTTCTACACGGACCATTTACAGGACAGGAATGACCGGAAACACACAAGACACAATAACAACACACGGGCCAATGCCTAACTAGCTACACGAAATCGAAGTGAAATTGCATAGATAATCTAACAATAATAATATTTTATGTTACTTTACTCAACTTTTTAACGAAACGAAAGACTGGTAAGGTAAGTAATTTGCATGTGTTTGACGAAAACATAACCAGACAGAAAGAACCGCTACCTAGTGACATTTCATACATCGGAAGTTACAATGATATCAAACTGAAAGTCACCTTGTAGCCAACTTGTATTTAGTTCTGATATTACGATCTGTGATCAACTTTCAGTCATACTCATAGGTTCTACATACTAAAAGGTAACAACAACAAGTGTCATTCCAAGTGTCGTGATGATGTTGCCATATGTGGTCTTGCTTACATTTGTTTTTCTCGCCCTTGCAGAAAGCATAAGGAGTCAGTATGTTCAGTTTTTTCGGACATCGTAATAAAGACTCTTCCAAGAAGTCATCGTCAGAGGGGGATATAGATGGGTTCGTGATAATAGGTGAGAAACACATATGAAATGTAATCCTGCTGACTTTGTAAGAGTCAGACATTTGTAGCTGCTATAGGCACTCAACGTCTAGGTGCTCAACTAAACTTTGAGGTTTCAGGTCATCCTACTGCTCAGTAGGCTCTGCTCAGTTTGGAAACCACCACATTAACTCACCATCTAACAAGTTGGGCAGAACACAAAGTAATGCTGTGATTATCATTTAATCCATGAAATGTGTGGATTCCACAATGCTCTTCTGGTTGTACCAATCTTGTTTCAGAAACCAATGTCTCTAAATGGCGGCTGGGCCTCTCCTGATCACCTACCGATATCACCCAGAACAATGCTTCAGGGGTTGTGTCTCAGATAGTTGCACACAATGTTGTCATTGTGTCCAGTGCTACTTTATTATACAATTGTATTTTAAATGTTTCAAGTCGCTGTACACATTTAGTCAAGAACATAGGCCTATATTTTGAGTTTCGTGTTCTTTTTTACATTTCTATTAACCTTTTTATCTCCAAGACTAAATCCCGAACCTCTACTTTGTAACACTAAGCTTCTAAAAAAGTTTCAGTCCACATGTACACTAAACAAAAATATAAACGCAACATGTAAAGTGTTGGTCCCATGTTTCATGAGCTCAAATAAAAGATCCCAGAAATTTTCCATACACACAAAAAGCTTATTTCTCTTACATTTTGTGCAAAAATGTGTTTACATACCTGTTAGTGAGCATTTATCATTTGCCAAGATAATCCATCCACCTGACAGGTGTGGCATATCAATAAGATGATTAAACAGCATGATCATTACACAGGTGCACCTTGTGCTGGGGACAATAAATGGCCACTCTAAAATGTGCAGTTTTGTCACACAACACAATGCCACAGATGTCTCAAGTTTTGAGGGAGTGTACAATTGGCATGCTGACTGCAGGAATTTCCACCAGAGCTGTTGCCAGAGAATTTAATGTTAATTTCTCTACCATAAGCCGTTTTAGAGAATTTGGCAGTACATCCAACTGGCCTCAACTGCAGACCAGGTGTAACCACGCCAGCCCAGGACCTCCACATCCAGTTTCTTCACCTGCGGGATCGTCTGAGACCAGCCACCTGGACAGCTGATGAAACTGTGGGTTTGCTCAACCGAATAATTTCTGTACAAACTGTCAGAAACCGTCTCAGGGAAGCTCATCTGAGTGCTCGTCGTCTTGACGTGACTGCAGTTCAACGTTATAACCGACTTCAGTGGGAAAATGCTCACTTTTGATGGCCACAGGCACACTGGAGAAGTGTGCTCTTCACAGATGAATCTCGGTTTCAACTGTACCGGACAGATGGCGTCGTGTGGCGAGCGGTTTGCTGAGGTCAACGTTGTGCCCCATGGTGGCGGATGGGTTATGGTTTGGGCAGGCATAAGCTACGGACAACGAACACAATTGCATTTTATCTATGGCAATTTAAATGCAAAGAGATACCGTGACGAGATCCTGAGGCCAGTTGTCATGCCATTCATCCGCCGCCATAACCTCATGTTTCGGCATGATAATATACTGCCCCATGTCGCAAGGATCTGTACACAATTTCTGGAAGATGAAAATGTCCCAGTTCTTCCATGGCCTGCATACTCACCAGACATACAGTACCAGTCAAAAGTTTGGACACACCTACTCATTCCAGGGCTTTTCTTTATTTTTACTATTTCCTACATTGTAGAATAATAGTGAAGACATCAAAACTATGAAATAACACATGGAATCATGTAGTAACCAAAAAAGTGTTAAACAAATCAAAATATATTTTATAGTTGAGATTCTTCAAGTAGCCACCCTTTGCCTTGATGACAGCTTTGCACAGCATATGTGGGAACTCCTTCAAAATTGTTGGAAAAGCATTCCAGGTAAAGCTGGTTGAGGGAATGCCAAGAGTGTGCAAAGCTGTCATCAAGGCAAAGGGTGGCTACTTTGATGAATCTCAAATATAAAATATATTTTGATTTGTTTAACACTTTTTTGGTTACTACATGATTCCATATGTGTTATTTCATAGTTTTGATGTCTTCACTATTATTCTACATTGTAACAAATAGTAAAAATAGGTAGGTGTACGTGTGTCCAAACTTTTGACTGGTAGTGTATGTCACCCGTTGAGCATGTTTGGGATGTGTACGACAGCATTCCAGTTCCCGCCAATATCCAGCAACTTCGCACAGCCATTGAAGAGGAGTGGGACAACATTCCACAGGCCACAATCAACAGCCTGATCAACTATGCGAAGGAGATATGTCACACTGAATGAGGCAAATGGTGGTCACACCATTTACATTTACTTCATTTAGCAGTTGCTCTTATCCAGAGCGACTTACTAATTGGTGCAGATACTGACTGGTTTTCTGATCCACGCCGGCACTTTTTTTAAAAATATTTTTTTTAAGGTATCTGTGACCAATGAATGCATATCTGTATTCCCAGACGTGTAATCCATAGATTATTTCAATTGACAGATTTCCTTATATGAACTGTAACTCAGTAAAATCTTAAATTGTTGCAATTGTTATTTTTTTGTTCAGTGTAGTTTTAAATTTGTCACCAGCATTGAATAATGTCTTTCAACACTTCCTTCAGATTGCGATGAACCTGAAATGAAAGTAAGGCGTTGCACAACAAAGTTTTCTCGTGCTCATGGGCATGGTAATTTTGCATAACAAGAAATAAGCATAATATAGGATTGCTACACGCTTTACTGAAAAATGAAGGTAAATCCTGCCAATTTTAAAGGTCCAAGGCAACATAACCTCCTTTAGTACCTTTTCAAATTCTAAGCCCAAAATAATGAAAATGTTATTGTAAGTCAGGAATCTCCCTCCCCCTGCTCCCTCTTTCCTCTACCAGTAAAGTGCAGTATAATTGGCTCTTTATCCCACGGCGTTGACTGGGAGCGCTGCTTGTGGACCTGGGTTCAAATACTATTCAATAATTTCAAATACTTTAGCTGGGCTTGATTGAGTTTGCCTGGTGCAATGGAACCAATAAAGTAGTTGCAAAAGTGCAAATGCCACCCATCTGGCACTCCAGACAGGTTAAAGCTGATTCCAAAAGTATTTTAAAGTGATTTCAAGTAGAATTTGAACCCAGGTTTGGCTGTTGGTGGAGAAGTAGACACAGATGGTCAGGAGTTGCATGTTTCTCTTGGCAGACAGAAGAGAGCCAGTCTCAGAGCCAGCGTTTCTTCCCAGATAAAGTAGAAAGAGTCTGACTGAGCTCACAGACGTTTTAGTGTAAACTCAATGACTGTGCTCTGTTTATTCACATTCTCTGTTCAAAGGTGTGTGTGTGTGTGTTGTAAGGAAGGAAGGAAGGGCTCAGTCAGATGGCTGGTGAGGAAACCAGGGAGTTTGAAAGGTGATTCACCAAAACAGAATTAATAGATTTTCTCTGGGTGTAATCAGTGTTGATGGGAGTTGTTACAGAGTGCAAATCCAACAATGTAGGACTACGCTTCAGTCAGAGTTGGGGTAGTGGCTTTCAATTCAAGTACAGTTAGGCTAGTTTGTCCAGTTGCATTGAAAATGAACATTCATAGATCATTTTCTTTGAGGATTTTTAAATTTAAAATAGTTTTTACTGTATAAACTAAAAAAAATAAAAGAACAGCTGTGACGGTTAGCTATGTGTTTCCCTGAAATCTGCCATTCACATTTGCCATCCGCACCACAGCCTCTTTTCACGTTATGCTCTTTCCTGGTACTGATGGCTCCAGACCAAAGGGAGCAGATGTTCTTACAAAGTGAATCTGTGGGGCTCTGTCTGGGTCCATATGGCAGGTGGGATATCATGTGCCACTCTACTAACCTTTCACTTTCCCAGCCAGTGACCTGCCGGTTGGGTAGGTTCAGGCCGAGGCTGTGGGAGAGAGCCCTGCCCTCTGGGATTTTCCGCTGGGACTGGGAGGCTGGCAGCAGGATCCTCTGTGGCCCTTCTCGCCGCCATCCACATTTGGTTATTCAGGCAGAGAGAAATCCTCTTGGGGAAAGAGGGTGAGGGAGAGCGCGAGCGCAAGGAGAGAAGGCAGTGCAGTAAAAAAATTGATTTCCCCCCCTGTTTTTTAAATGATATTTCAACACTGTGGTTGAATTAATACTATGAAATTGTGAAAATTACGATAATGCCCTTTTAGTGAAAGAGCTGTTATTTATTTTTACGGCTGGATTTTCAGCCGTTTTCTGGCCCACAGCATGACATCACATCACAATCTGATCTGATTATTCTGACCAATAACCAGTCATCTTTTAAATTTGCATATGCATCCTCCTACATTGAAGGGGTAAGCGGGGTAGACTCTAGACAATCCTATCTGCCAATCAGGGCTGTGTATGTAAATATATAAACATTTGAATCAACACGCCCACACGATAAAACTGAGCATTTCTATGGCAAAAGGATGCTCAGGGAAATAAATGATAAAAAATATGTTGAGTTATTTTTCATGAAATAAACACACAGTGATTTATTATACATAGTGTGATTTAAAAATGAAATAAAAAAGATTGCATGGTGGCTTTAAGGGAAGAAAAAAATCAGCAGAGTCCACCCCTGACGCTAGATGGAAGGATGGCTCACATTTGTCAGGGGGTCATGGAGTTTAAATCTCATTTTACCTTAGAAGATTAGCTAATTAGCTATTACAATAACGTACTTTGACAGGATTTGTAGCCTACATCAGACGAATCCCTCTTCCCAGTCTAAGCTGTTCATTTGTAACACCACATATTTTTTGCCCTGTCAGATGGAATAAGATGAGAAAGGATTTGTTTTACTATCGCCCTAGTCATCTCTGTGATGATCCAAGTCGAGGGCCTTCAGTCCCGCAAAGGCAGGATGTGTGTTTGCACATCCGTGTCTGCAGCTGACACTCTCGAGGAGTGGGCCTGGTTGACTGCTGAAGTCATGAGCAGCTGCCTGTGCCCTTTCTGGGAGCCCATCTCCCTGTCTCACAGGCTCTTATCCCAGCCGGTAGACAGACAATATCCTCACTTGTATTTGGATGGCTGTCAGTGTCTACAGTCTCACGACAGTTCAAGTTGTCTCTTTCACTAACCTCATGTTCAATAGGCCTACACCACCACGTTAATTTGAACCTTTGTCCTCAGCTGTTGTGTTTCCCTGTCTAAAGTCTTTATTTATTTAGCCAGGATAGTTGGCCATTCAGTAACAGTTGCCACTGTTTTCCAGGGAGTCCTAAAGTCATTGCAGGTAATGCAAGGGTGTGCATGCATCATACATGTTAGTTCATAAGTGTTTTAGTCATTGATCACTGGTCGCTTAACAGAAGATTGTGACTTAACCCATCCAGAAAATAAGGCTAACAGTGTCTCATTAGTAAAGCTAGTTTGTTCTATCCTATCTGGACTGGCAGAGCTGTTTAAGAGAAGCCTGCTAGCCTGACAAGCTGCATGTCATGGACAAGGTCCACAATCTGAGCAGGTCACACAACTCCAGTACGAATCATGACATAATGTGATGTCATTGACAAGGTCCACACTGCACAGAGCAGGTTGATGCAGAATGTAACTGTGCTCCTTTACATTCCTCTTCGCTTGTGTTAAGTTGATCAGCTCATGATCCAAGCCAGAACGTAATAGGCCTCTCTCCTGACCTGACACTGTTTAGACAAGATTTTCAATTTGACATAAAAAAAATATGTTTGCCAGTCCAGTTTCCACTGGCAGCTATCCAAACACACAAAGAGAGTCTTTTGACGATGTTGAACGTGAAAATATGCAGCCCTACAATAATGTGAAGTCAAGTACAACCAAACTAACCTGTCCTCTGTATCATAAAGCAGAGATTGTGTGTGTATATTTCCGTGCTTTAGCCTGGTTATCCCGCTCTCCTTCTGAAGGATTTAGTGAATGGGAGGGATATATTCCTGCACGCTATTGAGCAGACGATGGATGGATGCTCTGTGTTTTACTGACAGAGGGAGAGAGGCCTGTGTCTAACTGACTGAGTCCAGAGACAAGGCCATGCCTGTACAATGCTGACGACACATAAAAGAGGAGAATACAGGCTTACTTTACATGGCATTATTTAGATGCCCTTGTTGTCTTAGAGGACTTCCACTGCTTGCTGTGGAATAATGTGTGCTCTGTAGGTGAAGGTGAACAATGCCTACCATGCCAAGAATTAATTCACAGATGTGGATGGAAATGTGGGCTGGTCAGGAAATTGAGGGAAGATCTAGGGCTATTTTTGTACCTGTAGGCCTGAGGGGGGAAATCAAAGCTATAAATTCAAGGCATAAAATACATTTATATTGCATACCTATACCTCAAACATGGATGGAAATATGAATATCCATCATAACAGTAAAGTAAGACAATAGACAAAATATTTGTATTTAAATAAAAAATAATCTGAACTTGATGTTACTGAAGCTGAGAGACATTGTACTACTAGACTAGAGTAAGCTGATAGATCCCATATTGTTCCTGTGCAGAGTAGAGTAACCTCTGTTTATCAGGGTGCTCTGGGCCTCAATTCCCTCTCATGGAGATCATTTAACCCTCTATAGAGAGAGACATTGGTGTACTGGAGACTCACTGAGCTCAGATCAAAGGAAGCTGGTGAGATCAGGGAGGATGACTCCATGCTGGAGAGAGAGTTCAGTCCCAGAGGAGAGAGGGAGGAGTGAAGATGGAAATGGTTACAAAGGAGAGGAAAGGGAGGGAAGGAGAGAAAAAGGGGAGGGAGGAGAGGGAAAAAAGAGCGAGGGAGAAGAGGAGAGTTCGAAAAGTGTTTATCTGTGGACATTGACAACATGTAGTTAATTAGTCTAGTTACTAAGGCCCAGTAGTTGTCCCCCAGATGACATGATGCAAGAGGAATGGGGTTGGGAACATAGGCTAGGCTACACCAGAGAGAGCTGCAGGCATGCTCTGGTCCACATAGTGCTCTGTGGAACTGTAGTACTAACTGTGTTAATGCTGTGTAATCCATTAATGTGATCAGAACGCCACTCCACTCGTTAAACCACATCTAATCACCCAATTGACCTGGTTGTCCCAATGAAGGAAAAAATACACCAATCAGGCTAATTACTTCTATTATGAAGACCACGGGGCAAGTAGGACTTGGAGAGGGGGCAAGTAGTGGGTCTCATGCACATGTATTTTGATGAAGAATCTAGGCCTAGGCCCACGGTGTATAAATGACACAATGTCTCTTGTTTTTTTTTTTTCTCCAGGAGAAACTGTTGAGGAACAGAGGCAGAAGATCCAAAATGTGAACATCAGCAAACCATCATGTAACGTCATTGTGCAACCATCAAAGGTGATTGTCTTTATAACCAGGGGGTAGCGCTATGCAGAACATACAGTATAACACACCCTATGGGCCCTGGTCGGAAATAGCACACTAGATTGGGGATAGGCCGATGGGGTGTCATTTAGGACGCAACCTGGGTTGTGTTACACAAAACTGCCAAGATGTTCATCTTGCATATGCTGTACCAGGAAACACAACTGTTGTAGACTTAAACAGACAGCAGTGAGACTGACTGACTGAAAGGACTGTGCGTTTTCTCTCTACCTCTCTGTCTGGCTCATCCTGCCTGCGTACAGACTGCCTACAGTCTGCTGCTGCTGTGTTGGTGACAGATGCTGAGTGGTATGGGTGTGATCCTGTAACAACACACACACACACACACACACACACACACACACACAGAGGCTTGCGGGCCAACGCATGCCACTACCATTCAGCATGCTCCATGCCTGCTACACTGAGTCTGGACTGGACTCTGGACATATGGTGGCTGTAGAAAAGCTCTATTGTGTTGCTGCTAGTTCTCCGTATGATCTGGTTGGTCCTACTAGTCCTCGAAGTCGCCTGTGGTCATTTATTATGGGTTTAATCAAGGGCAATATTTCAATGGAAGCTGTGTGTGTGTTGAAGCGTAAGCTGCATATGGTGACATTGCACTGCAGCTTGGCTCCCATTCAATGAGTGAGATCTACGGTGTGCTGTGCCTTGCCCCCTCATGTCGTGCACACAGGAAGTTACAGACCCTTTTCACCTACATACTGTCAGACACCTACCTACAACACTGTAAATCTGTCCTGCTTCAGGGTGGGCAATATATGACCAATCAGGAGGTACAGACGGCAGGACCACTACCTTCAGTGTTCTGTATTGTTTGTTACAGAGGTTATATTAGACAATAGTGGTTACGGTTTAATATGTAAGGTTACTTTATATGTGAAGTGCTAGAAGTCATGAAAAATAAGGAAAAGACTGCACACGGCTGTTCATGCTCCCAGGTGAGTCCTCGTCATCAGTGTTTGAGAGAACAAACACTCCGAGACTCATTAAAGGATGTTTCCGTGGTTACGTCCCAACTGAATGCTATGTTAATTGCAGAGGAATAAGCCATTTCCTGTAACAACAACTTCTCTGCATTTAGGCTTTCATTCAGTCTTAATTACAAGACCCATAGCACAGCTTAAGTCTCCAATCTAGCACTTTATGTCTACACCAAATCCTTTTGAATCAACAAAGTCAATTGAAGAGTAAAAATAGTAGTCCTATAATATCATGGTAGACACAGGCAAGAATAATTGTATTGTGTGGTACTTACTTGTGTTTAGTGGTACACTTACTGGTATCATGTTGAGTTTTAATGTCACATGCACAAGTACAGTGAAATGCCTTTCTTGCAAACTCAAAACCCAACAATGCAATAACAATGTATTACTAGAAAAAGGACACACGAGAAAGAAGAATAAGAAATACACAATAAAGTAAGTAAGCATACTATATAGAGGAAATATTTAAAAAGTCAGTTCCAATACCATATTTACATGTGCAGGAATACTGGAGGGATGGAGGTAGATATGTATAGGGTAAGGTGACTAGGCAACAGGATATAAGATAAACAGAGTAGCAGCAGCTTGTATGTGAGTGGGTGTGCGGGTGTAAATGTTTGTACATATTATGTGCGAGTGAGAAAATGATGGAGTGTGCGTGTTGGCGTGACAGTGTGTGTGAGTGTGTAGGGCCCTGTGAGTGTGCATGGAGACAGTTCAAATATTGAAATAGAAGGTCAATAAAGATACAAGTTAAACTCGGTCTGTGTAGCTATTTTGTTAGCTATTTATCAGTTGTATTGCTTGGGGATAGAAGCTGTTCAGGAGGCTGTTGGTGTCAGAGTTGATGCACCGGTACCTCTTGCCGAGAAAACAGCAGAGAAAATAGTCTATGCTTGGGTGGTTGGGGTCTTTGCCGATTTTCCGGGCCTTCTTTTCACACCGCCTGATAAAGAGGTCCTGGATGGTATGGAGCTCGGCCCCAGTGATGTACTGAGCTGTCCGCACAACCCACTGTAGCGCCTTGCGATCAAGGGCGGAGCTATTGCCATACCAAGCAGTGATGCAGCCAGTCAATATGCTCTCAGTGTTACAGCTGTAGAACCTTTTCAGGATTTGAGGGCACATGCCAAACGACTGCGTGTGTGTTTGGACCATTTTAAGTCTTTAGTGATTTGGACACCGAGGAACTTGAAGCTGTCTACCTGCTCCACTGCCGCCCCGTCAATGTGGATGGGGGCGTGCTCGCCCCCCAATTCCTGTAGTCCACGATCAGCTCCTTGGTCTTGCTGACGTTGAGGGAGAGGTTGTTGCTCCGGCACCACATTGCCAGGTCACTGACCTCCTCACTGTAGGCTGACTCATCGTTGCCGGTGATCAGGCCAACCACCGTCGTGACGTCAGCGAACTTGATAATTGTGTTGGAGTCGTGCGTGGCCACACAGTCGTGGGTGAACAGGGAGTACAGGAGGGGATTAAGCACACACCCCTGTGGGGCCCCTGGGTTAAGGGTCAGTGTGGTGGAGGTGATGTTGCCTACCCTCACCACCTGGGGTCGGCCCGTCAGGAATTCCAGGATCCAGTTGCAGAGGGAGGTGTTCAGTCCCAGGGTCTGAACACCTCCCTCTGAGTTGCTAAGGTTATGGTTGGGGACAACATCCTAGTGACTTCCATCCTTAGGATGTTGCAGAGTTCTGAAACCTCATCTTGACGGCGTCATGACACTGTTTTGTGTTCCATCACTAGTGTTTTAGTTGCAACCTAACCACTCTTAAAAATCTGTTTTCATGTTTGCCAAAAGTTAGCCATGTTAGTGTTCCTTGTCATGTGTAGCCTACACTTGTTTCTAAATGCAATGCCTGAAGGTGGACATTTTCTCTCCTCTTCTCCCCAGTCCTCCAGTGCGACACCTTCCCAGGCCCACCACTCTCCAGCTCCTGCTCCACCCTCTGTGATCGCCCCATCACCAGGGCCCATGTGGAAGCCCCCCGCACCCATCGTGGAGGCCCCCCCGTCTCTCCCAGAGCTACTAGGAGATGTCCCATTCACCCTGGCCCCCCATGTCCTGGCCATGCAGACAGGGGGTCCTGGGTTCCCCCTCTTCTCTGAGATGCTGATGTCCCCCCGAGACATCAACCACAACCTGGCCTCCTTCACTTATGACTTCACCCTGGAGAACTCTGTGCTCTGTGACCATTGACCTGTAGATAGTCTACTTTCTGTCTGTCTATATGACCTCTGACCTTTTGGTCTGTCAACCTCTCCTCCAATACCAACCCTATGTCAACCCTGGGTCTTGTTCATTGGGCAGCAAACAGAAGAAAACGTACTGAAACAGGGCGGGACTACCTGGGCTTGCCAAATAAGAAAGGCACATTTTTGTTTTCCTTTGTAAAGAGTTAGGATGTGCTCTGCTGAACACGACCTTGGACTGTCTTGGTCCTTACCATTCAGGTTTAGTTTCAGTTCCATGGGGCTCTGTCTGAGAATGGCAGTACTATAATTAATAATAAACCTGGTTATGGTGATGATCAGTATTAGAGACCAGGTGTGAGTAAGGTTGGGCCAAAACTGCACCTGCCTGCAGTGATGTAGGCTACACACAGTATGTAGGTAGATGGGTACACAGAGTTCCACCATTAACATTGTGGACTAAGAATACTAGTTAAGCATGTTAATCACTTGCTGATGCATGTCATAGTAGTGCTGGTTCACTGTTTTAAGAACTTGCCATTGTGTGTGTGTATCAGACGAGTGCTAGCTTCATGTCTGATGGTAGGCATGCTTTGTCATAGCTGAGGCTTGCATTGAAGAACAGAGTCAGGGTCTAGATTCACCTGATGTGGTTTGTTGGTTTAGGAATCACTGATTTACCTTTTGGGTTTGCACTAATGCACGTACAAGACAGATTTCAAATTGAATCTTATGAAGGAAATGACTCTTCTTTATCTGGTTATGTTTTTTACCCTGGTGTCCTCACCTTTAACAATGAAGTTAAGAATACTGTAACAAGACATTTCCAAAAATGTTTGTGTAGCATAAGCATTTCTACAGAGGAACTATGTATCTTTTTGATAATGTATTTAAAATGTAAGAATATACGCTACTGTTCAAAAGTTTGGGGTCACTTAGAAATGTCCTTGTTTTCGAAAGAAAAGCAATTTTTTTGTGCATTAAAATAACATCAAATTAATCAGAAATACAGTGTAGACATTGTTAATGTTGTAAATGGCTATTGTAGCTGGAAACGGCTGATTTTTTAATGGAATATATACATAGGCGTACAGAGGCCCATTATCAGTAACCGTCAGTCCTGTGTTCCAATGGCACGTTGTGTTTGCTAATCCAAGTTTATCATTTTAAATGGCTAATTGATCATTAGAAAACCCTTTTGCAATTACGTTAGCAACAGCTGAAAACTGTTGTGCTGATTAAAGAAGCAATAAAACTGGCCTTCTTCAGACTAGTTGAGTATCTGGAGCATCAGGAATTGTGGGTTCGATTACAGGCTCAAAATGGCCAGAAACAAAACTTTCTTCTGGAACTCGTCAGTCTATTCTTGTTCTGAGAAGTGAAGGCTATTCCATGCGAGAACTTGCCAAGAAACTGAAGATCTCGTACAACGCTGTGTACTACTCCCTTCACAGGACAGCGCAAACTGGCTCTAACCAGAATAGAAAGAGGAGTGGGAGGCCCCGGTGCACAACTGAGCAAGAGGACAAATACATTAGAGTGTCTAGTTTGAGAAACCGACGCCTCACAGGTCCTCAACTGGCAGCTTCATTAAATAGTACCCGCAAAACACCAGTCTCAACGTCAACAGTGAAGAGGTGACTCCGGGATGCTGACCTTCTAGGCAGAGTTGCAAAGAAAAAGCCATATCTCAGACTGGCCAATAAAAAGAAAAGATTAAGATGAGTAAAAGAACACAGACACTGGACTTTTTCTTTGCAACTCTGCCTAGAAGGTCAGCATCCCGGAGTCGCCTCTTCACTGTTGACGTTGAGACTGGTGTTTTGATGTCTTCACTATTATTCTACAATGTAGAAAATAGTACAAATAAAGAAAAACCCTTGAATGAGTAGGTGTGTCCAAACTTTTGACTAGTACTAAATACAGTGAGGGGAAAAAAGTATTTGATCCCCTGCTGATTTTGTACGTTTGCCCACTGACAAAGAAATGATCAGTCTATAATGGTAGGTTTATTTGAACAGTGAGAGACAGAATAACAACAACAAAATCCAGAAAAATGCATGTCAAAAATTTTATAAATTGATTTGCATTTTAATGAGGGAAATAAGTATTTGACCCCTCTGCAAAACATGACTTAGTACTTGGTGGCAAAACACCTTGTTGGCTATCACAGAGGTCAGACGTTTCTTGTAGTTGGCCACCAGGTTTGCACACATCTCAGGAGGGATTTTGTCCCACTCCTCTTTGCAGATCTTCTCCAAGTCATTAAGGTTTTGAGGCTGACGTTTGGCAACTCAAACCTTCAGCTCCCTCAACAGATTTTCTATGGGATTAAGGTCTGGAGACTGGCTAGGCCACTCCAGGACCTTAATGTGCTTCTTCTTGAGCTACTCCTTTGTTGCCTTGGCCGTGTGTTTTGGGTCATTGTCATGCTGGAATACCCATCCACGACCCATATTCAATGCCCTGGCTGAGGGAAGGAGGTTCTCACCCAAGATTTGACGGCCCCGTCCATCGTCCCTTTGATGCGGTGAAGTTGTCCTGTCTCTTTAGCAGAAAAACGCCCCCAAAGCATAATGTTTCCACCTCCATGTTTGACGGTGAAAATAGTGTTCTTGGGGTCATAGGCAGCATTCCTCCTCCTCCAAACACGGCGAGTTGAGTTGATGCCAAAGAGCTCCATTTTGGTCTCATCTGACCACAACACTTTCACCCAGTTCTCCTCTGAATCATTCAGATGTTCTTTGGCAAACTTCAGACGGGCATGTATATGTGCTTTCTTGAGCAGGGGGACCTTGCGGGCGCCGCAGGATTTCAGTCCTTCACGGCGTAATGTGTTACCAATGGTTTTCTTGGTGACTATGGTCCCAGCTGCCTTGAGATCATTGACGAGATCCTCCCGTGTAGTTCTGGGCTGATTCCTCACCGTTCTCATGATCATTGCAACTCCACGAGGTGAGATCTTGCATGGAGCCCCAGGCCGAGGGAGATTGACAGTTATTTTGTGTTTCTTCCATTTGCGAATAATTGCACTAACTGTTGTCACCTTCTCACCAAGCTGCTTGGCGATGGTCTTGTAGCCCATTCCAGCCTTGTGTAGGTCTACAATCTTGTCCCTGACATCCTTGGAGAACTCTTTGGTCTTGGCCATGGTGGAGAGTTTGGAATCTGATTGATTGATTGATTGCTTCTGTGGACAGTCGTCTTTTATACAGGTAACAAACTGAGATTAGGAGCACTCCCTTTAAGAGTGTGCTCCTAATCTCAGCTCGTTACCTGTATAAAAGACACCTGGGAGCCAGAAATCGTTCTGATTGAGAGGGGGTCCAATAGTTATTTCCCTCATTAAAATGCAAAGCAATTTATTACATTTTTGACATGCGTTTTCACACACTGTGTGTGTGTGTTTGTGTGTGTGTGTGTGTGTGTGTGTGTGTATGTATGTATGTGTGTATGTATGTATGTATGTATGTATGTGTGTATGTATGTATGTATGTATGTATGTATGTATGTGTATTTATATATATACACACTACATTCCACACTGGTAAACAAATGATCTTGTGAACAATTACACATTCAGTTAACTCTCAATCAAAACTTTTGGACTGCTGTACAAATGGGCAAGAGAAGCCAAATCATATTGCATAAAAAATGTGTTTATTTTTAGGACAATTATTTGAAGTGAACTAATTATGAGTAGGTAACTCCTAAGACAACCACTCAAGAATCTGAAAAGATGGCTCATAAGTTGCACTGGTATTTTCAGTGCAATGTTGTGGTATTCCACATTATGTGAAATCATCCACAGATGCTGCGTTTACACAGGCAGCTCAATTCTGACTTTTTTATTAATTTTTTAATAATCAGATCAGCTCTTTTGACAATAATAGTAATCATAATATGCCATTTAGCAGACACTTTTATCCAAAGCGACTTACAGTCATGTGTGCATACATTTTTACGTATGGGTGGTCCCGGGGATCGAACCTACTACCCTGGCGTTACAAGCGCCATGCTCTACCAATTGAGCTACAGAGGACCACATGACCACACTGTCTATGTCTTAACCATAATTGGGCAATAAAATCTGATTTGGGCTGCCTGTGTAAAGTTACTTTCTACTGTATACATTATGAAATGTTTGGGATTGACCCTCTCTGGACAATCCTTTGCTATGCATAGCTGGAAACCAAGTGTATTATGTCTGCCTATGTGTTAAATGACACTGTGGATTTTCCCAGGCCACTTCCTCTCTTTGTAATTCAATCACTGACCTAAACCTTGCATGTTGATTTTGTTTCACAGGTGTGGAACTCTACACTTGTTTTCTTTGTTTTTTGGGGAGATTTGAGTTTGAGTAACTTAGTTTGTTTGGTGTACTTGGATGTATTTTGGGGGTTTATTTACAGTGTGGTTCATTTATGTGGTTGTGCATGTTTGCTATTAACAAGACATTGTTTTTATTATTTTATTATCTTGTCCTGCTGTTTATATTTTTTTGTCATTTTTAACTGAGGTTTCTCTAAAGATGGTTGACCTGTAAAAGCATGAGTACTGTATTTGTAGTAGTAACTACTACATAGGAAATATGTTGTTATTGGGTTAGAGGATATGTTTTACATGCTATCTGCCCTACTTACTTGCTTCTGTTTTCATAATGCTAGTACCTGAGCATCAGCCAAGTATTTGCCCATGTTATCCTGATATCATGTACCAAGTACTCAGTGTTGGGGAAGCTACTCTGAAAATATAGTTACCAATTACTTCACACTGGAAGAAGTTAAGCTACCCTAAAGCTACCCTTAAAAAATACATTGTTTACTTAACTAAATTTACTTTGAAAAAGTAGTTCACTACATCTGAAATGTCATAGACGACAAATTGCAAGAACAGATCACTCTGTAGTCAGATGTTAACAGAATATTACATTTACAATTTAGTCATTTAGCAGAATATGTAATTTATCCTATTAATCACAAACTATTTTTCAAGTGAGAATTGGAT